CGTTTACAGATCACTAGCTAGTTTTCTAGTTCTGGGTCGTGGAATAGGCGGTACATTCAAAAGTGAATCTTGGTCTAGAGATTCGATTCGGACAAGTCACGCGAAGTGTAAACATGCTTCCGCCGGCCAAGTGGAGTGCAATCTTATTCTTGCAATCGTTTCCTTTTGGAGAACAAGAGGCAATGTAGTTTGTCCAATTCTCATACGGGAGAATCTGCTTGGAAATGTAACGTGGGAATGAAAAGTGATTTGGTAATTATAGTTTAACGAATTTTATAAATATTTGAAGCTTAAAAACAACTACATTTTTATTTTTATTTTTAAGAGGAAAATATTTGGGAAACACGAGTCAATATTGAGGATTATTGTTGTGTAAATATAAGAAAATATTGAGGATTATTGTTATATAAATATTGCCAATCCATCGATTAAAAACTCATACTATTATAATAATACATTCATGAATCACCTTCGCCAACAAGATTAATTTATTCTACGAATTTTTAAACATTATTCACAATTTTCAAAAATGCAGCTTTCAACTCAGCAATCGAATGCTAATTTATCTAGAAATTTTTATACGCGCCGATGTTAGCGTGGATCATCGAAAAGAAAATTCGATGGACGAATCTTCGTTCTCTGGTCTGCCAATCAGTTTATATTAAATTTACGTAACACCATGAATATTAAAACCGACAAACATTCGTTCTTGCGAAGAAACATCTTCGATCATGAACCATAAATCACCGTTGGAACAACTCAAAGTAGATATAAATGTTCACTATCCTCGATCATCTTCATATATTCAGGTACTTTCTCCATATATACGTACAATTTTTTTCTTTTTTTTTTAATTAATCCCAACATAATTCAATCAATCGTAGAAAATTAATCGGCAAAAAAAAAGAATTCCATCCAACGAATTGTGTCGGTTAGGAAGAGGAAATATATTTGGAACTTGCAAAGCAACCCAAAGGGATAGAGGCTTCAAGCTGATAGAGCATGGTTGTTAAGAGTACCGCCGATCTCCATTAATATTGATATCATCGAAAGGGGGTATGCTCAGAGGACAGCCCTTCTCGACGACTTTCCCGATTTTGAAAAGAGTCGGCCAGTGGCGTACCGAATCGAAGCGAGGAGAGCACAACCTTCTCTGGTCTCGACACATTCGTGCACACCGAATAACCGTGCGCTAACAATCACAATCGCCACCAGTGGCGAGTAGTCCCCAGTCCCTGGGTCGTTTCCCCACCTTCTACTTTTGCTACCAACGTCGACGGGTATCGTCTACCGCAGTTAGACCGAGTCCGCTCGCGCATTCGCATTAATTTCCAATCCGCGGTGTGCGCGCTCTCTCTGGCCGGCCTTTCCTCTCCGTTTCGATCGTCGGTCCTCGAAACGGTCTTTCGAGAAGCGGGATCTCTCGGGTCTTGGCGATTTCCGACCACGCGACCGTTATCCGTTACCCGTATTCTAACGGGGCGAATTAACGAAAAACGGTGTCGTCGACGGAAAGAGATGCCCGTGGATTCGAGCACCGCGAAAAAATCCCGTACAAAAGGAGAAGGAAACGTCTGACAACCGTAACTCTTAATTCTTCCGAAATTTTTTTTTTCGTCGGCTATTCTCTTTCGTTCTATTTTTTTCAATTCAATTCTAGTAGTAAAAGATCTTCTTCTTGTGAAAGAAAGAGTCGAAGGAGAGCAAGGAAGAAAAACAGATTGGTCGTGTCAAAGGATATTTTTATATCGCGTAAGGACACTATTCGCGGAGATCGAGAATATATCGGTTGTATTGGATCGACAGCGAAAGTGCACGTCTTCCGTACGTGCATGGGGTACAGTGCACTTGTGCCAGATACCAACCACGAGACCATTACTTTCCGCGGGAAAAAACGCTGAAAAACCGAAGAAAAAGAATCATGTGATTTGTCGAGTTATAATATTATTTTTGTCACTTAGTTTGATGTTTTATTTTAACGAGATTGTGTGCGTATGTGTTAGATGGATAACTGTTTGGTAGATAGAGATACGAACAAATTCGATCTTTCTGTCCTTGTCTGTAGAAATCGATTTCGTGTTTCCAGTTTCAAGATACCGGTCGATGAAAACGGTTAATAAAAAACTTGAAAGATAAACGCTTTATTGCCTTATAGAATTCGCGGGATTTATTTTAACATCAGGAAGAGGCTATTTCATAGTCGTCGCTAAACATTATTCGGAATGACGATAAAACGAGACAGGTTTTGGTCTTGTTATAGTGAATTTGTCTTGTTTTAGTTTTTTCTATAGGTTTTCTTGTGGATTAAATGAATAATTATAATAGTATAATGTTAAATTAAGTTGTTATCATTAATTTTATTATTCGAAGTAATTTTATTATTTTAAGATATGTAAAAAATTTAATTGTTTGATAATTCTTTTTTTAAATGATATTCACAATGATTTAATTAATGCTAACCTCAACAATTAGTCTCACTTGTAATATGAAAACTATTTATTGTAGTTTATAAAAACGCAAAGAATTGAAAATATATTATTTTTAACAATACGAATTATGTAAACAAAATATTTATTTTTCATAAAATTATCGAATGAAAAAGCTATTGATAATCCATTTAACGAACAATTCATATTTCTATATAATATAACAATATTTAAATATTATAAATTAACAAATTCATCGATACTGTCCTGTTTGAATATTAATGCGAATAACTGTAAAACAAAAAATCTCAACTCTCTTATACCACGACTTAATACCAATAAGCCTCGATCGATTTTCACTTTATAACCTCTTTCATTTCAATCGTCCGCGTTTTGTTTACCGACGAGTTCTCGAACGCTCGTAAAATCGACAGCTACCTGTGCGGCATAACGAGCTATAAGAGGGCAGTCAGCTGCGAATCTTCACGCGTGACGCATGTTTCTTTCGGTTTTTCAGTATACGACTTTTATTTTTGTTTTATGTCGCATACATAATCGGATAAACAAATTTTTAAGACAAAAAATTATTGAATTTGAATCAAAAAATGTATTTTTGTTTAAGCTTTCATTATTCTTTAAAAATTAATCTGTTTTTCCATTTTCATTCGTGAACATAAATAAATACGAAGAGAGAGGAACGTCGAAGAAGCCAGCAGTGTGTTGATGTGCAGTGATCACGAAATTGGTGCGCAACAGAATCACTCTGAAAGTAAAGTCTTTTGAAGAAGCGGATCGAAACAAGGTTTAAATATAAAATTTGATCTTAACGGCATCAATACGTGAGTTGAATCGGTGAAACGCTTTATTCTTTCCTCGTCGTGATGACACTGAGGATCTCGACAATGGAAACATGAGGACTCTAGAAGATCGTGCATTCGATCGACGCAGCTCCAATCCTGTCGACCATAAATGACGTAAGTTTTGAATGAATTTTTTTTTGATTTTTCGACAAAATACTTTGACAGATTATTGCACAGAATATTGTGGTCATTCATGAATTTTCATATTTATTTTATGTTTGTTTAATTCTGATATAAACAGAAAAAGTTTATGAAATTTATAAAAGAATGAAAGAATGAAAGAATGAAAGAATAATATAAGATAAATTTGGATTTTATTTAATTAAAATATTTTTGAATGTTATAAATGTTAACTGCATATTAATTTAAATTTAAGATTCAAAATTAATAATGTTTATTTTCGATTAAATCATATTGTATTTTAATGTCTATGATTATACAGATTTTTCTATTAAAATTTAACTTTTTTCTCAAATTAAAAATTTTTCTACCATTTTTTTTTCAAAGTAATCTTTTTTTCAAATATTATTACTATATATTACTACATCGAATGAATGAATTTTGAACTTGAATCGAATTCATAATACTCGAATATTTTCAACAGATCATCAAAAAATCTCTAATAATAGTTATTTTATCAAGGCAAAAAATATGATATGATATAATAATATAATACAAACGAAAGCAATTTAATTAATTTTTTTCTGACCTTGCGCACGTAAATTTTTAGCTTATGATAGATTATATATCAAATCATGATAATATTTATGCATATTCAAAACGAAATAAGATATAATGAAACATCAGTGAAAAAAATCTGTTAGAATTATTAATTTTTGAACAAACGCAAAATTTCGATTCATCAAATATAATATTATTAATTATAATTTTAATTCGAACATTTTATTTCATTTTTGTTTCGTAAAAACTGCTACGAACTATTAAAATAAAATTATTGAAGTGTAATAACACACAAATGTAAGAATTAAGTTTTAATACATTTTTTCAATTTTCATTAAAAGACTTACGAGTAACAAAATCTTGGAGCAAACTATCGGTAGAATCAAAATTCTGTAATAAAAGTTTGATATAATTTACTATGGTATTTATAACTTCTTTTATGTTCAGTTTTCAATTATTGATTCATTCTAGTAGACTATTATTTTTTTCAATTCATTATTAGTTTCTTCAATTTACATTTTATTTAGTTTAGTTTATCTATTTTTATCTTTTTTTTACATTATAAATATAAACATTCAATTTATTTTTGAAATTTATGAAATACATCCAAACTATTAGTTTGTTCAGAATCATATTGCATTAAGAAAACGAGTTTTCAATTCAACGAATAAATAATTAAAGAAAACAAAAAGGAATAATAACTTAATATCAATGGTAAATGTCTTCATAGATATTAAATGATTATTCATTTATGAATTTTATTGAAATCCTAAACAAGTAATGAATGAATTTTTGTCTCAATTACAATCCTAATTGTTAAGCTAATCATTATAGTAAAACTGAAACATGATTACATATTTCTAATTTATAATATATGCTATTTCTCATTTACTTATTTATGTCAGTAATTATAAAAGTGATTTTAAAATTGAGATTTGAAAAGATTTTATTATTTATATTTATTATTTATTTATATTATGTATTGTATAATTACGAAAACTTTTTTGAGAAATAAAAAAATTAAAATATATTTGCTTTTATATATATATATATATGTAAATATAAAAATTGAATAACTTAACCTATTATCTAATGCTGTAATTAATACTATGATTTCTTATACGAGCATATAGAATTTCTATTGCGCATGCGTAATCTAGTTATCTTTTGAAGTTAATTCGGAATGTTATACTTTTCGTTTCAGTCTTTTTTTTTTATGTAAATTTTTACAAAAAAAGTAAAAATAAAAAATGTAACAATTTAGTTGTTTTGTTTCATTTATTGCTTAAAAAAGTAATACATGAGATGAATATAAAGAAAAGATATGTAATGAGAAAGTGAGAATGACGATAGTTTTAGGTTAAGTATGAAATAATTATGTAAATATATGAATAAATATAAGAAAAATGAAATCGCAGTTTTTCCTGATCTAGATGATGCTATTGTTGAGATTCTAAACTTAGTCAATAAATTTTTTCGTACAAATATGCTGACTTTTGATTTATATTTAATTCGGTTTTTAATAACACAATTTCGTGCTACTTTTTTTTCAATGAAGTTCTACATTCGCGGCCCAGTTTCTTTTCATTTCTTTTTCTTAATTGTACACTTCATTTTCAACGAATTAAATATGCTAGAAATTCAGTTATTGTTTTTAGTATTAACGAGAATGTTTATTAAACTGTCTGATTTGAATGAAATATTATGTTTTTTAAAAACGCAATTTATGCACGTCTTGATTTTATATCATGAGCACGAAATTTGCGATTAAATCTTTTTTTTATTACTTTTCGTTTTTTTATTATTTAGGATAAATAAATATCAATTCTTTCAAAATCTCCTATACTATTTTTTATATTATAAAATAGTTTTATCAAAATTTCTTGAATCAGTAGTTTTATTAAAAAAATTTGATTTTAAATTTTAAATTTAACTTTCATTGCTTACGTTATGTTAATATTATTAGAATTATATTAGAATTTAGATTTCATTTTAACGAAGAATTAGGTATTTAAAAATTTTATTTAAAATGTAAAATTTTTTATTTAAAATGCAAAATATGAAATTTCATTTCTATTTAAGGAAATAGCGAAATTCAAATTCATCTTTTTTAAAAGATCAAGATTCTAACCTAAAATAAATATAGTTGCTTTTTTAACTTTTTAAAAGAAATAATATATTGTCAAGAGTAATGCACTTGCTCTTGTCCACATATCATTAGCATATTTTTTTTTTTTGAACATAATGCGGGCCTAACTTCAGTTTATACAAATAATTCTTCCTTGTTAGAAAATTGTAATGATCATTGTCATCAAATACAACTTGCATGTAACTTAAAACTCGATTCTAAGAACACGATTCATTTTTGCTGAAACAAGGTCTTATGTTAGATATATAATAAAATGATATTCTCAGATAAAACGATATTAAATTTTGCAATATTCACATAGAAAAATTTATGCAAGTATTCCAATCAAATATTATATTTATTTTTTCAAAAAAATATTATTAACGAAATTATTAATATTAATTATATATATTAATATTAATTCTTCATTTTAAATAATTAACATTAATTCAAAAGTTATATATAATTCAAAGACACATGTCTTATTTATTTTCGAAATAGTTATTAGTTTGATAAAATAAAGAGGTTAATGGTTTCCTTTTTACTGATATACATTTTTTTTTATGTTGCATGGAAAAATGATTTAAACTATACTTGATAACACGATTCAGAACTATTCCTCACAATACAAATCGCTGATTGAAAATGAAAATTATTAACATCAAATTAAAAAAATGATGAAGCAATTCAGATTAAAAAATGTTTTTTTAAAACAATTTTCTACAGAAATTACATTACTTACGATTAAATAATACAAAGGAAGGAATACAAATTCAAAAAGTAGAAACTATTAATTTTTTTATAATTTTTTTTATAATATTCCTCAAATAAAAGACAATTCTTTATCATTTTAACTTTACTCTAACCTTTCAAAATTTTATTATTATATCAAAAGAAGTAAAAATTCCATAAAAATTCTAACAAGCAAAAGAAAGCAAAATCTAACCTAAACAATTCAAAAAAATTTATTTAATTACAATTCACGATTTATTAGTCACCAACAAAATAACGAGAAATAATAGTAAAAAATATTTTCTGCCCTAATGATAGTTCATATATTTTTGCTTTAATTGTTAAATGTCGACTTCGTGCATAAACCGCTGGTCCATTGACAGCCAGCCACTTTCATTTCTCTATTCTCCGGCACAATCCTCATACTAGTTACACTTTCCTTCGTGGTCGGTGAAACAGCTAGCGTGGATAGATCGAAACTCTCGTTTTCAATATCTCCGGCTGCCTCGTATGCACGCACCGTAACGGGCAAATCGTGGTCTGCGCGATTGTATAACGCGGACATGCGCGAGCTTATATGGTTCACCATGCTTTTGCATCTATTCGTAGAGGGCACTAAAGTAGTTCTAATTAAACGATCGTATCTATTTGTAAGAGGGCAACTTTTGTGCGTTTTCAACGTCATTATATAGTTTTAAACAATGTATTGAGTTTTGAACAATTATGTTGTCATCTAAGTGAGAGTAATATGTATATAATAGTATGTAGAGAAATTGATTGTAAGTAGTGCACGCATATCGAATGCATATTTATTATAATTTTTACGATACAAGATGGCGAAAAATAGTTTCGTTTATTCTTTCATAGATATAATGTAAAAAATGAAACTAAAAATACTGTCAGTTTAAAAAAATTTAAATGATTTTATTAGTTTATAAATAAATATAAATAGATGTTTTTTTAAAAAAGAAAAAATGAAAAATAAAAAGTGAAAAAAATAAATTTATTTAATGAAGAAATAAAATTATTTAATTTTTAATTATTAGTTTCAAGAAATGAAAATTAAAAATGAAAAATAAGAAAGATAGATTTAAAAATTAAATTATTTTGATTTAAATATTTGATTTGAATTTAAAAAATAAATGGAATGAAGATAGAAATATATAGATACATACATCAGAATTATTTTATATCTATGTTTTTCTTCAGACGCAAAAAGAGGACTTAACGTAGAAAAATGAGAGAAAAAAGAGATATAGGTTTAGATTTTATTTTTTGGTGAAGTTTAAAAAAATTTTCTTATATAAAAAATAGGAGACATGGTTTTCGATTTTAGTCAAATTTAAATTTTCGTTTTTTATAGAAAAATAAATATAACTATCACATAATTTAAAATCTTTGTTACATTATTAGTTTAAAATTATATTATTAGTTTAAAATTCTCAAAATATAACAAATTTTAAAAATTTCGACAAATAAAAAATAAAAAAACAAAAATCAAGTATTGCTGTCGTTTTATTTATGATTATTTTAAATTTTCATTTGGTTCTTAGTAAAAAAATAAAAAAATTGA